TCCAGTTTTTCACTTCATAACAGTAAGTCTATATGTTCAAAACCATGAGGTAAAGTCTCATTGCATTGCTTGTCAAATGAAATGAAGAAGAAGAATCAATAGCGTTGTTTGTTGGTTTGTTTGTTAGCTAGCCCCCAAATCAATAGTTAACTACATACCAAGCTACCAAGCTATCTATCTAACTGCATCTCAGCTTGACATGTATAACTGCAATACGGCTGAATGTTTAACTCCTAACACGTGGTTCTGTGCCTCAAAAACGCATACCACTAAGAAACGCATGGTAACTTGCCTCTTGCCTAGCTTCCCGAGCTTCCTTGGTCAAATTGTCCCCCAAAACGTATTTGAAAAATGCGACGGTGACGTTTTGCCGAAGAAAAACTGTATTGAAAATGATGATCGTCATAGCTGAATTCCAAAATTTACCATACTCAGCTGGAGGTATCCTGGATACCTACCTACTGACACGTAGTTCTGTGCCTCATGGAAGCATACAAGAAACACATGGCCAACAATCAGTAAAGTATGCAATGCAGCCATAACATCGTCAACGACAACGCGGAATATCACATTATGGGGGCCATGATCGACAAAAGCTGAAGAGTTATTGCCATATGTCGTTGGGTAGTAACATGAGCAGAAGTTGAAATGTTGAAGTGTCCTTCATTGCCACCATGCAACACTCTATATAGAGCTGACTTGAATGAACATCGTCACCGCTTATTCTGCCCCCAAGGACCGCTGGACGAAGTCGGAATTATGACACTGTATTGCTTTCAGCACGGAATGATCTCGGAATCGTGAGCGGGAATTTGCCGAGATGGCTTCACACGTGTACTGTGCCGTACGAAAGAATAGAACACATGGTTAATCAGATACCTTAGCTTGATAAAGTGTCCCAATCTACAATGAAGGATTCGAAGCTACATGTACCTCGGTAAGGAAGTGGTGATAATCGTCAAGCTGAAGAATTATTCCCATACGAAATGTGCCCGTGGTTAAGAACAGGAAGGTACCGTGATGAAAGAAGTGACTGCCGCTATTGACGGAACCCCGTCACCGCTCATTCTGCCCCCAAATGTTGATTTGATATCTTATTGCCCTCACTAGATATGTAATAGAAGCGAAGGTGTAAATGGTAACCTACGTTCCATGTACTTCGACTAGGGATACTTGTCGAGATAGCTTCACACGTGCTACACGTGTTACACGTGTTTCTTTGGCCCATCATTACATGTCAATATCGGCCAGTGTTTGGACCCCAACAAGCTGGAACGAATGCTGTAAGGACGCAAGACCGACTCAGTGAGGAATTGTAATGGAACTTTCAAGCAGGGGTATCAGTTGCTTGTGATGTATTTGAGTGTCTGAACAAATAGTGTGTGGGCGATGGAGCGGGCTTGAGAGAAAGTGTTCAGAAACTTAGAGTGACTGGGTATCTGTTGGAGGCATCATCTTGTCTTTCTTCCAATCCTATCCGGAAGAGAAGAGTATAAGCTCAGTAAAGGGGGATTTTTGTACAAGGAGCGGACGTGGTGTACATAATCTTAGTAAAAAGAGGGTTATCCTCCAATTTGTTAACTATTATCATCAGTATGCTCTAATCTAATAATCTCTACACTCTTTCCCAAACTATGTATTCGAACTCCCTTTACTTTCCTTTCAGATCTTGAACCCACTGGTCCTCACCTTCTCTTCATCTATCTTTTCACTTATCTCTTCGCGTTCATCGCTAAATTTCGTTGGTGACACCATTTTGATGGGAAAGTGGGGTAGATGAGACGAACATGCGGATAATAGACAACCGTAACACGATAAAAACGCTTGCATACCTATTCACAAGAAACTAACAAGAGAATAACTAATAATACAACCATCCTTGTATACCACCAACTAGCCGCAAGCCCAGGGACACTCAAGCCGAAAGGTAGCCAGCCCCCTTCGCCTTGAGCATCATGGCCAAGATGCTACTCTGACTGCCAGCTCGCGCTCACGCAAGCTTACTTCTTCTGCTTCTTCGTACTCCTCTCACTCGTATTGCTGAGCACGCTAGCACTCCGCTTGTGCTGCGTCCCTGAACCTGCGCCAGCTCCGTTGCTAGTGCCATTCTCATCCGCCTCTTCCTTGATCTTTGGCTGATTGCTGCTGCTTTCGGCTTCTTTGTCACCCGCTGCTGCGTCTCCTGTTTTCTCACTCTTGTCACCACCACCACTATCCTTTGTTGCCGCCGCAAGATCTTCTCCATCCTTCTTTTGCTGATCTTGACCACCTTCACCTTGTTGCTCCTTCTGCGCCTTGGTGTCCTCCGCCATCTGATCCTTCTTCTCCTCATCGGTCTGAGCAGAAGACTCGCCTGACTTGTTCTTGGCATCGTCACCACCACCATCATCCTTCTCCTTGTCGCCTGCTCCTCCAGCTTCTCCTCCACCTCCTTCTCCCTCTCCCTCCTCACCATCCTTCTTCTCCACCGTCTCTCCTCGCTCCTCGGCCTCTTTTCTCTCCCTTTCGGCCTTCTTGGCCTCCTCAAGCTTGATCTCCGCATCAACCTTGTCGCTCACCTTCCTCAGATCCACTAGCGCCGTGACCGCGGTCCAGAGAACCTCGAACTGCGCCGTCACCGCCGCCGTGGGCATAATAAGACGGGCAGGGATGTCGAGCTCAAGGAGCAGGTTCGTGATGCGCATCTGCTGCTGACCAGACTTGTGACTGTAAAGCTTGTTGATCTTCTCGTAGCGGAACGTCGGGCCGCTGCCAAGCCGATCGTGGTGCGACACGCCGTACACCTGCTCCTCGTTCTCCGACAGCTTGCGACGCTCGGGCTGCTGAGGGCCCTTCTTCTTGTTGGCGGCAGGAGCGGGAGCAGGTGCGGGCGTGGGCGGCTCGGCGGGGGTGGCGGCGGGGGTTTGCGACACAGAGTCGCGTTGATGGTGGCCGTGACCGCCGTGACGGTCGGCACGTTCACTGCGACTTTCGTTGCGGTGGTGAGAGCGAGATTCCTGGCGCTCGTGACGGACAGGAGGCTCGCGGGCGGGGGGCTCGTGATGATCATTGGCACCGGCAGTGGATGATGCTGCGAGGCTTTCCCTCCGGCTAGCGGCCGGGGGTGCTTCGGGTGCGACTGCGGCGGCGGCGGCGGCGGCAGCGGGCGGAGCAGGAGCAGCAGCAGCAGCAGCAGCAGCAGCCGCTGGGGGGACGCCGTTCTCGGGACCCATGATGCTCTTGCGCTTCTTGGACTTGTCCACGTTGAGAAGGGTCTGCAGGAGAGATTGTAGGCCGGCGGAGGTCTTGAAAGAGTTGATGTCCGACTCACTTGCAGGATAGTCGAGACGGTTGTACAGCTCACGACGCTCCTCGTTAAAGCGTTCGGTACGGGCCATAATACGCTTGATCTCGAGGAGCAAGGCTTCCTCTTCACGAGCCTCTTCGTTGGATCGTTTCAAGGTGTTTTCGGCGAAACGTTTGCGGTTCTGTTCCTGTTTAGGGTCGAAGTGTAGCATCATCTCATAGAGCTCGAACTCGGGCCTGGTCATGTACTGAGCAGGCTTCTGAACGGCCATCATCTTGGCAGCAACTTCATAGTATCGTGCCTTCAAGTCCTCCATGGTCCGGGGCTTGGGTGCTGGCACCACAGCCATGCCGTCGGGAATCTCACCCTCAGGTTGTTGAGGAGCGTACTCGTACCTGTCCCAGATGATGGGCCATCGTAGATCAAAGTCCTTTGCCAACTCCAGCAGATAATCGGTTTCCTCCTTGGTCCAGTCGGGATGCTTCAAGTTGGTGTTGTATTGATCCTCGCTGTACTGCGGTACCGACACGCGGACGTTGAACTTTGCAAACGACGAGTCCTCGGGCTTATCGGCCGAGTTCTCTGCTGACGCCGCACTGTTCTGTCCTTCAGCTGAGCCATCCTGCCCGCCCTCAGTCCCATCCGGTTTCCTCTTCCAATGCCTCAAAACAAGTGCGCCATCGTCCACTCTAGCCGAGTTTGTGAATGCCTTCAGTTCCCATTTGGCAGCCGGTTTGCGACTGACGGTCCTTCGCTTCTTGAAGACGGAGACCTCGGGGACTATGGCGATAGGATTGTCGCCACCGAGGTTCTGTACTTCACGAGCGAGACCCTTCAGGTTTGGACGTGGTGCAGCAGTCCTCGCCTTTTTAGACGGCCTCGGCCCGGCATTGTCTGATGGGAGGTTGAGGACGTCACGGACGTCGTGAGATGTCATGATGTGGGGCGCCGGGAGGATGGGGGTTAGGAGTCGGAAACAAAAGAGAAGGGACACCGAAACCCGCAGCTAGGACCTGGGATAAATAAAGACGAATTTAATACACAAACGAGCCTGTAACTTCAGTGAACGTCCAACTGCCTCGGAGCGCCCCACTCCCAAAATTCATCAAAAGAAGACCGGATGTACTATCAACTTGCGCGATATCATCCAGAGCACATTACGAGTTTGGGGTTTAGCTTGTGTCCCGTAATGGAGAATATCGAAACTGGATGAACGGCAAGCTGGAGAATGGGAATGTTGTTGAAACGACGCGGTCTGCTGTGGGAATGTTGGTTGTCGCTGGAAAAGATTCTTAGTGGAGACCTTTCTGCTTTCACTACCATTTACAAGGGTTAGGGTTGATCTCGAGGAACCGTTGACACACGTGACCGCTTATTGCCTGCCGCTTCACAGAAGAGAAGGCCAGACCCAGTGCAGGTGGAAACAGAACCCCTGGCAATCTGGATGGCCCCGGCTCGATTTTCTGAACGTGGCAGCTTCCCAGGGCCAAGCTTTCTCATTGCGGTCGCGACTTTCGAGTGTGCTACAGTTGAAAGGGTGCAGCATCCACCACAGCGCATCACCACCAACATTCCGGAGTACACATCTATATACAGCATTGGCGCAACAAACACCAGACGGGTACAACAACCACAACCTCGGTCGCCTCTTCTCCACGACAACACTTACGCAAACGCCTGTTCGGCGCAATAATTCCACATACACACCACAACCATGAGGTCGTTCCTCCCACTGCTCTCGCTGGGCGCTGTTGCTCAAGCGCTCCACTTCTTCATCGACGGCACCAGCCCCAAGTGCTTCTACGAGGAATTGCCCAAGGACACTCTGGTGGTCGGCCACTACACGGCAGAGGAATGGGACGATCAGAGGCATTCGTGGCAGAAGCACGACGGCATCAACATTTTCATTTCTGTAGATGTATGTTTTGTTACCTCTTTGAAGCTACCAAAGCTACCCCTGACCCCTATCCCATCCCACCTACCCCCCAACCATGACCTCTACCTGTTCTTACCCCGAAACCCCCTTGCTCCTATAATAACTAACAAACCCTTCCCCACTCTCTAGGAACTCTTCGACAACGACCACCGCGTCGTCTCCCAGCGTGGCGGCCCCGGTGGCAAGTTCACCTTCACCGCCGCCGAGGCCGGCGACCACCGCATCTGCTTCACCCCCACGTCGACCTCGGGCCGGTCGAGCTGGATGTCGGTCAGCAACCCGAACGGCGGCATCAAGTTGACGCTGGACATGGCTATTGGCGAGTCCAGCGCGATCGAGAGCGCCGACAAGGGCAAGCTCCAGGACCTGGCCACGCGCGCCAAGGACCTGAACAACCGCCTGCAGGATATCAGGAGGGAGCAGGTTTTCCAGAGAGTGAGTCTTGCGTTACGCCGAATTGGGCGGACAGGGAAATAAGACAGAAAAGGAAAAAGCTAACTAATAATCTTCAAACGAAACAGGAACGTGAAGCCGAATTCCGTGATCAGTCCGAGTCCACCAACGCCCGCATCGTCCGCTGGGTCTTGTTGCAGCTCGTCGTCCTCGGCGCTACCTGCGCCTGGCAACTTTCGCACCTCCGCAGCTTCTTCATCAAGCAGAAGCTTACGTAAGAGCTTCATCAGCTCTTCTGTCACATGTCGGAGACACTCAAAAGGAGACTGGCTTACAATAAAGACAGAAAGGAAGCACATGTAATAGTGAAAAGATGTGGAAGTGAGGGAGGAGGGTCATATAAGGTGTAATATGCTATGGGAGGGCATTTCCCTTACTTGCTAGCAGCCTAGGTAAAGTCTGGGCGTTAACTGGGTATGCGACAAGAAGGTTCACGCCATGCCACGCCATGCCAGAGAGGACAGGCTATGAAAAGCCGGCAAGGAAGGTGGAGGGAAAGTTTGACGAAACGTTTTAAAAATGTGCTACGCATGCTTCCTGTATAGCATGAGATGACATGCCTTGATGATATATAATACATACTAACTAACTACTTGATACCACACTCGCACGTTTGACAGTGAAGAAACGTAGACCATCGAGACACCAACCGAAGGTAGATACGTGTAGAAGAACTGACATAGTTGCTACACGTACTTCTTTATAACATGAGCTGTCATTGATGTTCTCTACGGTAGGTATTTGATACATACAAGAAACTATTTTACAAAACAAGAAAGCACTCGTTCGTATGCCTCAATGTAGAGAGACACTTAAACATACGAATTTGACCAAGATGTGCGATACGATACCATGCAGTTGGTTGAATGCATACCAATCCCTCCGAGGTAGCATAGACTATCATGCAACTGGCGGTGATATATGTGGCAATTCAAATATTCCACACAACTCGTTCGCACAACTACTTTATTCAACTGTCTGTCTTCTAAAATTCATTCTCACACGCCCTCGGGACAACACTCACTCCCAAACCTTTATAGATCGAATAGAAAACCTTCAAGATAGAAAGTGAGTAAGTGTGTCGTCCCAAAGTCCAAACGAAGATGGCAATCGCTCGTCACAGTCACAAGGGACAGGAGTAAGCAAATTAACTAAAGTGGCTGCAAAGACTTGATTGTGAGGGAACAAGCTGGCTACCTTCGTCTACTATAACGTCTGATCTAAACTGAACCGAAGCTATCTCTTCACCTCTTCTCTCCCAAGTCTTGCATCCATCAAGTTCTTCTTATACTTTTCGAAGACATCCACCATCTAATCACTCAGTTCTTTCCATTGGTTCCAACCCAAGCCGTCCCTATAACCCGTAAAGGTACCCAAAAAGAGAATTAGCGTAGATTAAAGGCCGAAAAAAATGTAAATAAAATAAAACGAAGACCTTGTGTACTTCATGCAGTCAGCGGCAGCGCTCCTTTACAGCTACACAAATTTCTGTATCCGTGCAGGTGTGTACATGTACAGTACTGTGTACCAAAAATCCTTACGCCATTCGTATACTCATACTTGATGATAAAATCAAGATTAAACAGCAACACTCAGTAGCAGTTGACTGAACCCCAAAAGGAACCCCTCGTCACTCACTCACTCGCTCACTCCCTCGGCCGCTACCTCTACCTGTCCCTATCTACCCAAAGAAGAAACTCAAAACCGGAGAAATCAAAGACCAGATCCAAGGAACACAAAAAGTAAAGACCCAAGCATAAAAGGATAACGTAGTCCAAAGAAAAAGGAAATGAAGAAAAAGGATGGCAAAGCCCATCAGCATCATAAAAAGAGGATGGCCATTCTCTGCAAAGAATCCCGGGTCTGCTGTGTCCGTGTCCGTGTCCGTGTCCGTCTCCGTCTCGTCGGGTGTTGTTTGTTGTTGTTGACCGGATGTTGGAGCCAGAGCGGGAGCCGCAGCCGCAGCCGCAGCCGGAAGCATACTACTAGTCACCCCCGGGTTTGGTGGTGGCAGTTGCGACGGCACAACGGCGTATGCACCACGACTATCTCCCTCTCCCTTTCCCTCTGCATAATAGGCCTTCATAAAATAAGGAGCCACGAAACCCAGAATCAGGAACAAAGGCCGAAAGAGCACATACAAGATGACAATCACAGCGCCGTAGACCCACAGTGAGGAACAACGCTCTGGACATGGATGATTATGATCATGATCCGTTCGCGTTCGCGTTCGTGGTGGCGGAAAATTTCTGGGTCAGAAAGGTTAAGCAGCCGACTAGTATCGTTTCTATTTTGATAATGTTGCTGTATACATTAGCTTCTGCGTCTGCTGAGAAACGCGCCATATCTCTACCGATGAGGACATGGCCCAATATAATCCAGGTTGGGCATGACCCACGGACCGAGAATAGGTAACGCCATATCCGGAAAACCTAGAGCTTTTGGCTCCTCCTCTGTCCCTGCCCCTATCGGAGGAGGAAGAGGAGGAGGTGTTGACAGGCCTTCCATTTCAGGTTGGTGTGGTAGGACGGGCATTGTGTTTGATTATTATTGCCTGTGTATTGTGTGGCAAGCTTGAATATACCAAAGTTTGGTGGGAAGAGCTTTCGTATGAGAAGACTGGACTAGGTTGTAGCTGTGAGATGAGAGGACTGAATTCTGAGCTGATGGTCCGTGACGTTTGACGACGGCAATGTCTGGGAAATCGGCGGGACGGGTGATGGTTGGTTGCTGTTGGCTGTTGGTTAAGCAAAAGGAATGGAATCTTGCGTTGGTGGTGATGGTGTTAATGTCCGAAGTAAACGGCGACAGTAGTTGCAAGATGTTTTGGAACAAGGATGTTCGAGTGAATAGTGCTGACGGATCGATATACTAAACCTAGACGGCGAATCGAGAGGTCAGTGCCGGAAAGATGGCTTTTACCTTTGTCAAGAACTGGAGTAGGTAACGAGTGGGAAACTGACGATGGTGTCAAAACTTGGTTGCTAGTTTGCTGGAAAACGAATCCCCGAGAGACAACATGCAGGGGAATCCGGAATGAGTATACCTTAAGAGAACTTGATGGTGGTGGAAGACGACTGATACTATAGGGGAGCTTGATGTATTGGGAAATAGCGACCTGATTTATTTCCCAAGATTTATCTCGACTGATGGATAACTTCCACGAGCGGGTTTCTGCCAGGAAAGCTACTGGTGGACGAAGCTTGATGTTTGCCGATACTAGTGACGAGAGCCAGTGGTGGATGAATAGAGAGAAGAGAGAAGGTGGTAGAAACCAACAACAAAGGGCTCAAATATAAACCCTCTCTGTTATCCGTGATGCCTCCGTGGTCACTTCAAGCAAGCACCTCATGCGAGGCCCCACTTTGTTCTTGTTGCTGAGCCATGGCACAGTTACTGCAGTTGAGTATCGGTCAAAAACCTGAGGCTCAGTGTTGTTGTGCAAAAGAAGACGCAGGGTTAAAGTTTTGCCAGATGCGTTTGGGGTCGTCGAGGAGCGTGTACGTGAGTTGTCAAGCACCTTTAACCCTGCATTTCGACCTGAACACCCGAATTGCAGGAAATAGTCAGTGCAGTAGAATATATGTAGCAGGTCTGGAGGTCAAAGGAGCATGGAAAGCTCCAGGCAAGGGAGCCCAAGTTTGTACAGCAAGTAATAACCGCAGAAGTGGGAAAGCGAAATCCAGGAAAAAGAATAAAGCAATTGCCTTAGCAGGATGTGAACCAGGCAGGTATTTTCGAACAGGAAATGATTTCCCGCCACCTCATTCTCTACCATATCAGACTGTGAGAGAATAACAGAAGACGAGAAGAGAATAAAGTACGATGAAGGACCAGTGAATGAGTGGATATAATGATTATTATGCGTAGTTCGGAGATGTATAAGATGCTGACAAGACAACAATAGCGCGTAACAACAAACAAGGTAGACAATGATAATAGACAGACAGTAACAAGCTCAGAACCACACACCCGCAAACAGCAACACTAAAACACCGAGGCGCTCCGTTCCAATCAAAAGTGAAGACTCTTTCCTCTTTTCCCCTTTTTTCGTTTTCCTTGGATCTTTTCAAACTTTCTCTCCCGACCTTCCCCTGTCACTTCCCTCCCTCCTCCCCAATGTTTCCCCCTCCTTCCCCTGTCTTCCCACTCCGAACCGCGTTTTCCAGCGGCAAGTAGAGGGAGGCCTGACCGTTTGCACACGGGGTTTTCGGGTAAGAGGCAGCTGTCATAAGAGACTGAATCATCCGACAACAGCTGTCCTCCACGTGATTCGGCTCGGCCTTCCATATAACGGCCCGGCGTCGTAAATCCTAGCATCCTCTCGCCAAACCAAGGCCAGCCAAGAAGGGAGGGAACAAGAAATAGTATAAAAAGAGGAAAGGGTTCCCGGGGAGGTCGAGAGAGAGGAAGCGAAGGTAGCGAGAGACAGAAGACTGAATCCGGAATACTAATCGTATGGTCGTAATAATGTGCCCCAGGTAGATCAAGCAAGTAAAAGACGCCAGATGCGCGTAGCCGAGTAAGACCGCTATGAAAAACAAAGGAAGGTATCCTCTATAGTCCCCATGCACAGACATTTGAGAACCCCATGTTTCGGCAAATTCATACAACAGGACTCGTCCCGCCACGGGAAACCCTCTATATAGATGGGACGAAGACTTGCTCCCCACATTCTCTCCTTTTGAAGCTAGCCGCACTGTTAGCGGTCAAGATCATCAACACAGCTGCCACCGTCTTTGGTTGTTGCTCACTCAAGGATATTATTAAAGCAGACGGACATAAAACCAACACCAGCCCTTTCAGCTGCAGCACAGGGCCTTCCAGATGCCCTTGATGCCGCCTTGCTGTTGCTGTTGCTGGTTAGAAGGTGGTGGGTTCGTGTTCGCTGTCGCAGTGTGGGTCATTGTCGTCCGTTGCGGAGGCTGCTGCATGTTGTATGGTTGCTGACCGTTTCCCGCCGACTGGGTGGGGGTGGGTTGGGACTTGTAGGCCCGGTTATTCTGCACGTTGACGTTTGGTTGCTCTTTCGCCCGCTGCCCCGGCTGAGCTGGAGGCGAGGGCTGCGGGGCGTTTAAACGAGCGGCCGTCAATTGAGCTCGGGGGTCGCTTGCGTGATGGGTCGTGGGCCCCCTCGAATTGTGAATCTCCATAGCTGAGGGCCCAGGTCTCGCGTTTGGGTTGTGCAAAGCCCCAGGCCGGTCCCAGTCCCCCTTCT